AGAATGTGTTCTTCGTCGTCAGGCGTAAAAGCAAATCTCTGTCCTCCAACCATAGTTTGTGGTGCTGTTTATCGTCGCGTTTCTGAGACAGGACCCTGTCTCAGAAACGCGACGATAAACAGCAGCAAAGGTTGGATGAGTCGACTGCCTTTGGTCTGGAAACGCAATCTGATTTAGCCGCGCAGCCTCGCGTCCATTACCATTCACACGGTCATATGTAAATATTATATCTGCCTGCTCAGCATATGAATATCACAAATGTACACGAATGACAAATGTAACCTAGTCTGTATAGCAACACAGCGCCATAAACCGTAATTTTCTTTAAACTTAATAACTCAAAAACGAAGGATTTGCGAAGATATGTTTATATGTCCTTGTTTTTGGTGTGATTGATCCGATCCCAATCTTTGTAAAAATATTTTGATACAAACTATATATATATATATATATATATATATATATATATATATATATATATATATTTAGGGCAATCCTTCCTTTATGCATGTTTCATTAAAAACGACAGACAAGGTACTACAGTTGAGCTTTTTTATTTAATTTTTCTTGTGTTCTGACAAGAGCTTTCTTTTCTGGACAAAAGTGTGTAAGAACTGTCCGAATGTTTTCTGTGAACTTTCGGCTATACCTTTAGCCATTATCAAGGATGGTTCAATTATCAGCTTAAGTGTGTGTTCTATGTATGTTCATTGTGTGGTAGTGATGTTTTAGTTTCCGGAAACGGTTAGCACAAACATCACTATGAACAAACCACAATGTGCTAACCGTATTCATACAAAACATCACTACACACTGAACATACATAGAACACACACTCTACTAAGCTGAATTGAACCATCCTTGATAATGGCTAAAGGTATAATGAAAGCGCTCGGAAACACAGAACATTCGGACAGTTCTTACACACTCTTTGTCCAGAAAAAAAAAGCTCTTGTCAGAACACAAGAAAAATTAAATAAAAAGCTCAACTGTAGTACCTTGTCTGTCGTTTTTAAGGAAACATGCATATATATATATATATATATATATATATATATATATATATATATATATATATATATATATAGTTTGTATCAAATATTATATATATATATATATATATATATATATATATATATATATATCTAATGAAAGAAAGAAGCTTAAATTCATCTATAGATATGCAATGCACAGATTGTTTGCACAAGTATATATAATGTACTTAATCGTAAAGTAGTGCTTGAAATGGATCTCCCCATCTTAGTCAATACTTGTTATCAAGTAACTAATAATAATAAAGGAGACATAAATTACTATAACATACGATTTTCTGGAAATTTAAACATTATGACTTTTGTGTTCATTACGATGTTGGATTGTATACAAATGAATCATCAAACGAGAGATGAATTGATTCGAATTTATGATTTGCAAATTCCAGGACCATTTCGTTTTTGCATAGATGATATTTCATACATTGTTAATATTTTATGATTTGGAAATTATATATGTATGAATTATTGATAAATTATTTCCCCATGAGCATTATGGCGGATCTGAAATTACAATTTGATTAATTTTTCTTAACAGGAAGGATTTAAGCATTTCTCATACACCCTCACACAGTGCAGAATCAATAATTGCAGTAAGTTTTTAACTGCCTAGCCACCTTTCCTTGACACCTAAAGTATAAACCTATCGTTTACACTTGGTGTTAAGCCCGGTCGTATATTAATTTTAGAGAAGTTCACATAAAATATATCTTCTTCTAAGTAAATTATATTCCATGATTTTATCAAATTTTAGTTAGTTTCTGGTAGAGGCCACGTAAACAGATGTGACATTTTTTGAACAAGTCAGCACGGCCACGCTAATTTCTGACTTCATCTTAGTATAAACATAGAGAGTTTTTGTACGCTTTCTATTCAATTTCACTCACAGGCCCTAGAAAACCTAGGATCACTTTCAGTCACTTACCAAATGTGTCGCAAACTAGGATCTTCTTCACAGTCCGACATTATAAAGATGTTATCGTTGACAATGATTAGATCCTGGGTCTCTTGCTAGTAGCACTAGCATCCTAACCACTCAACCACGCGCCCATATAAATGTTGTATCTGCCAGCTATTCATATCCATATTTTTCAGGACTGTCATAGAAAATTGCTTTCCAAAGGACAAACGATGAAGATTGACATACTTATATCGCACAAATCGACCCTAAAAACCGTCATTGCGCACCGTCGACAATTTAAAAAAGAGCATAGATATTGTTTTAATGGTATCCGGTGTAAGCCAAGATTAGAGGAAATGGAAGATGGACATTTTAATATCCTTAAAACCAAGTTTACAAGTGTTCTAACACCACATACACATAAGATAGATGCTGATGAAAAAGGATCCTTAGAAGCCTCAGAATAGCTGTGCACGAAGACTCGGTCCTTCGATCATACCACAGTACATACCTCACGGAGACTATGACGGTTGAAAGGGGTCATGAAAGTGTTCAAGTACTTAAGAAACCATCTGCGCAAGCGTAATATTCTGTGATGACAAAATACAGTGAACGCAGCTTTTAAATGCAGAAACGACCCGACACGTTGAGTTAAGTTTCAATATCAAAGCAACTGTAGGATCAACCAGCTTGCCCATTTGTGAGTCGGAGTCTTCGAATAGAATAATGTAACGCCATTCTTCTAGAATTGTAGAGAAAAGGTGCTGATACAGTGTACGGAGTTACCAAATTTTTACATCGCTCATGGCTAGCTATATTGAGCACAGACGGTGGTCCCGACCACACAACCAAGAAGGGGGAGAAGTTCCGTTATGATAAGTGTTTTAGCTTTATTTCTGACCAGTATATTATAGCCAACCTACAACCCAATAAAGTACACTGAATGGGGAATTTTGAAGCAGGTAATTGACAGAACTTCCCGCCTTAATATCAATACTCTCAAGGAGTAACGGAAGTTATCCAAGGACATCATGGTTAAGGGTAGCGCAGCTTTTCGATGTCGAGGCTGTAACTGAAAGTAATAGAAATAACATTGAATAAATTATTCGTTTTGTTCTTATCTATGAGATTTATTAATATCTTTAGTCTTTTTCAGACTATTTATGTCTAAAAAGCGAGTTTCAAAATTCGCAGTAAGAGTTTTTGTAGATTCTTCTTCCTCAGCCTCTTTGTACGGATGAATATACATATAAACATATACGCATTAATGCAAATTGCCAAAATGTATGACATCACACACATAAGCATTTATATGTAAAAACATATGCATACTTATTTCTTATGAAGAGATGTAACTGATTATTACAATAAATAAATTATTTATAAACTAGTATTAAAAAAATCAATCTTGTGTCATTCTATATGCATGCATAAACTAATTTATGCATACTTAAGACGCAGATCATTCAAAGTAAATTGTTGCATATCTCACTGTGTGCCAAGGCACTGTGCTTTTTATTATGTGAACTCTTGGACAAACACATTTCCAAAATAATTTTATTTCAATATTTTTTTCTTTTTCCACGCATAAATGATGGTCTAACTATTTTGTATGGATTCAACAGAATCAGATATAATTTGTAGGGAGAGGGTAGAGACATAGCACAATTATCACATAATGAGTTGGTTTCACTTTCGCGTTGATTTCCATATGTAAGGTTCGTTTATAATGTTTTCATTTGCATTTTTGTAACTGAAATTATACTCAACATTTCTGTATAGATATATTGAATTGGTTTTGTCCGTATCAACATTTTTGTAACATTTCAATTCTTTTCTTCGGTAATAAGCTTACTTACAGCCACCGTTAGTATGAGTTTAAAAGCAGGTAATTGTTCCAATAAATAAACTAGTAGCAGACTGAGTATCCCCTTATCCAAAATTATAAGTTTTTTTTACTAATAACAGAAGGTATTAATTTTTTGAATGAAAACAAGATAATAAAAAAACAAATGGTCTAAACCTTATCTATTTAAAAAGAACTTCTTTATATACAGAGTGCCCAGTAAAAAAAAGAAATTTATCTAGCTATCATGATTCAAGCACAAACTTAACAATCTTCCTAGATGTTTGAAATGTTTGCCTGAATGTTCAACACAAATTTGTAAGCGTGGTACCCAGGAGGCAGTAGCTTTGCGGATAGTGTTAAGAGGAATTTCATTCCAAAATTCAGTTAAGTTGTACTTCAACGAATCAATATCGGTAATGTCAGGACGATTGTTTTGAAAGTGAGTTAGGAGTATTCTCCAGATACAGTAATCCATTTCATTTAGATCTGGGATTTTAAGGGGCCACGGAGATGGACTAATTAAAGCTGTTGTGTTTTCTCAAAGAATAATTTGCCGCTTTTTTTTTTACTAGGCACCCTGTAAAATATTTTATGCACAAAATAGTTTTACTCTATTTGACCCCCTCATCTACACCGGGATGATGGAAATTAAGACATATTCATTTTTTTATATATTGTTATTTCTTTTGGATTTAATAAATTTAAATCAAAATCAGTTGATAGTTGACATCCTGTATTATATAAATTTATGCACAAATTTATGCACAAAATTAGGAAATTACGACTATTGATAAAACTTCTGGATAAAGGGAACTGAGCCTGAATCATTCTTTATTATTTGTCGAATTTCAAATCATATTATGAAGCTATGATATAAAAGTAAGCAGAAGTTACTGTTGGATGATTTTTGTAGTGAACCGTAAAAGCTTAGGGCATATAAGAAAAACAAAACAACAAAAAATTTATGAGTATCAGTTGTGAATGCATTCTCTGTTTTTCTTTTAGTTCTGCTTCTGCTTGCTTTGTAAAAATAGCCTTTATTTAAAGCTTTTTATTGGTTACTTCCATCTCGGTGAAAGTGACTGCTGCTGGTGTCTGCAGGGCCATGTAGTTTCCCATTACACTGTCTTTCTGTAGTCTTCATCAGTAACTTGTGGTAAGATTCTCTGTGACACTTTCATTGCCTGGAATCTCATACAGAACGACTTCTTGGTCATCGAGTTCTTTCTCTTTACTTTTATGGATTCCATAACCAAAATAGATAATCAGCCCTGCAGAGAGAAAAAAAAATAGTTATTTACATGTCTCCCATTCAAACATTTATCTCTGGATGAATCACACACACACACACACACACACACACACATATATATATATATATATTAATTTAATAATTAATTAATTACTTCAAAAATTTAGTATTTGTGGATTCTTGCATTTGAGAAGATTCTCCATTTTTTAAACAGTGGTTATTTCGTCTACCAACCTACGCAGTCGAGAAAATTAAAAGAAAATATACCTTCATGCAGGATTCGAACCTGCTTCCTCTTTCGTAGGAGAATTCACCATCTGATCTAAGAGCGTAACTGTCTAGCAAGATTCTATTTGCACATTAACTCATTCAGATTTTCTTCACATCTGCTCAGTTTCATATACGAAACGGAAATAAAGAAATTTCTAAAGAATTAATGGATTTTATTTTTACTCTGACCTTTTTTTATTACTTCAAGCGTAATTTTAATGAATACACGTATCTGAGTAGACTCTATGTTTCTTAAACGGTGTTTATTTCGTCTACTGCTCTGTGCACTCGAGAAATCCTAGTAAATCGAACTGATTTTCCCTACAAAAGTAGAGGCATATTCGATTGCTGCCTAGGGACATACTTTGATTACTAAGATTTCTCGAATACTCTGGCTAATAGATTTAATACACACATTGTAATAAATAAAAATCTGGGGTCTATTTCAAATATGAAATTTTCACTATAATAATTTTTGAAGTAATAAAAATGTCGAATTAAAAATAAAACCATTAATGTATATATATATATATATATATATATATATATATATTCATGAATTATTCACACAAAAACAAAAGCAAAGGTTTATGATTTAATTGGCGAGAAATCCATCATCGCAAACAATTCAAATAATATACAAAAACCTCCGAATCCGTTATGAATGAATTGATCCTTGTTTCCATAAATTTATCGTAATTTAAATAACTGATCCAAGTGCGACTTTTGGATAATAAGTGCGACATTACTGTAATTATTGAACAATATAGTTTATGCCACTTTGACAGAAAATTTACCAGTAAAAAATTCGTTCATCACCATATTTATACGAACGCACAACCTTTAAAAATTTAAAATCAAACTCAGCGTTGCTACTGCGCGCTCCAAAAACAATAACTCATTTTCAATAGCATTTTCGGATACAACAATACATATATTTTCGTTGTCCTCTTATTACTAAGAGAAAAAACAAGAACAACATCTATTCTATACCTGAAGATGTCTGTAGGAACAGAAGAAAGCTTGTAGTAAAAATAAGAACTAATACGGCAGAAATTTATGGAAACAAGGATCAATTCATTCATAACGGATTCAGAGGTTTTTGTATATTATTTGAATTGTTTGCGATGATGGATTTCTCGCCAATTAAATCATTAACCTTTGCTTTTGTTTTTGTGTGAATAATTCATGAATTTGTAAATTGATTGCACGTTTATCGTAATATATATATATATATACATATATATATATATATATATATATATATATATATATATATAATATTAGTGGTAAATTATGACCATGGCATATTAGTGTTTAAGCCTTTTTTATATATATATATATATATATATATATATATATATATATATATATATATATAGCTGGCCACTCGTATTCGAGGATACCCGTCTACTAGTGCGGTTAACTAATCCCTATTGCAGACTGTCGATCAGGCATATTTTGTGTGTTGCTAAACACCCACAGAGCCCACCTGTGGTTTCTACTGCAACTATGCTGAGCAGACCATAGTTACAGTTTCTGGGAGAGAGCGATTTTGTAGCGTGATAAAAAAATTGAACAATGCTGTCATGCCCCAGCCCTTAGCTGCGATGACTTGTGACTTTGTGCTATCGACGGGCCTCGCAAGTTCCATTTACCCAATTTCACACACAAGGCTTGGGTCAAACCGTGGTATGGTTTTCAGGCATTTTCCAAAGGTGCCGCATGCTGGGATCAGCCTCGATCCATTCTGATAACATCAGTAAGTCTCCCTACTGATATATATATATATATATATATATATATATATATATATATATATATATATATATATATATATATATATATATATGTGAAAAGTGTATATAAATATAAATAAATATATATATGTATAATTATTTATATATTATATGCGGTACTTATTAGAAAGCGCTCAATATCAGAGATAGAGCTAACATATTTGGTTGGATAGATGTGAGTTTGTGACCCTGGGTTTCATTTTTATGATCGTCAGACAAACTGATTAATCAGTTTGTCTGACTAATATATATATATATATATATATATATATATATATATATATATATTACTCTTTGTTGAGAAAATTTGATTTTTTAATTAATATATATATAGAAATTTTTAATTTAAAATCAAATTTTTTCAACAAAAGAGTAATATTTAAATTATGAAAAGTAAATAGCTTTCATTCAAAAGTAATTTAAAAAAGTAATTTATGGCGGGTAAATTTTTCGACTCGACACACTTTTAAAATCTGAGCAAAGACAAATTTCTTAGATTGGTCTTCATAGAATCTCATATATATGAATTACATAGAACAATTAATTCCTCAACCTAATATAGGGAAATTGTAGAAACTATAAATCAAACGGTTACTATTCTGAAAAATACAGTTTTGCGAATAAATGTTCGTTTTATTTAAGAAAAATAAAAATTACAGGGGAATATCAATGTTTATTTAAAATATTACTGCTAAAATATATAAACCTTACCTATACCACGGTTTTACCTACGGATCTTCAGGTAACAGGTAAGAACCCCGGTAGCGACAAAGTTTAGATTTTTATCATTTATATTTTAGAAAAAATGTTAAAACTAGAGAATACAGAGCAATTTATTAATTATTGATAAATTTTAGTTGAAAATTTCTCACAGATAGAAGACTCGTGTTCGACCCTGCATTTTCCGTGATCGGAAAATATGCTTTTTATAATGTATTCCCTTAAGTCGTGTAACAACATAGATCGACTGATGTCAAACCTCATCATTTCAGAAATATACATTCCAATTGTCTGGGACACAGTGGCATGACCTTTAGAATGCCAATAAATCACGTCACCATGCCATAAACAACTTGTCCTGTGTTTACACCGACTCATCAGTTGCCAGAGCCCAATTGGTATAGATACCAAGATACAATGGCGTTACCTACCATTTTCTTTCTTATATTCTAATAACTTTTTGCTTACATATATATGCCCATTTACGGGAGAAGAAAGAGCCTGCATAATGGATATATAAATGAATATGACTGAAATTGAGTAAATATCTACTTGCTAGCATTAGTTTGGGTGCACGTCTTTTTTTTTTGCATACTTTGTCTCTCTTGGATGACAATAGATAAACCACAGTTTTTAGGTCATTCACAAAACAGTAGATTTCCCATGTTCCTACACTGTAACTTTCTAGAGATTAGATCGAGTGTAGGTTGACATAGGTGGTGAAAGGAGGAGCTGCAAGGCTTAAGGCAAAACAATTTCAACGGCTGTAATTAAAATTCCATCTCGGATCAGCAGTTCCATTTAACGCACTTTGCAAATACTCGTTTATAGAAAAGAAAAGCAAGAATAACCTTTGTTCATGCATATTATGTGTGAAAATACTGCGTTGAACATTAATATATAATCTTCATCTAGTGCAAAATTTAATAAAACTTAAAATACTTAGGGATGCAATGGTGTTGTAATGGTTAGGGATTTAATTGATATCTTTAACAGCTATAAGTTAAATCTCAGGGCTGAACTGTACTCTTGCAGGGGGGGGGCAACTCTGAATTAAAAACTGTATGTGTCCTTTGTGTGGTGTATACTGGAACTGTAAATAAGGTTCGCTCAGCATAGTTGCAATATAAACTACAGGTTGGCTCTGTGGTGGTAATAAAGCATAAATGGATCTGAACAGATTGGTAAGATTGAAAACGATAAGATGAGAAATTACACTGATTTCGAAATCGAAACAGCTCTGATGATGATTATGAAGAAACATTTACACTATTTAGATTATTTGGACTATTGCCCTCATTTTTGTTGCCATATTCATCACAACGCTTCGGCCGTTGTACGCTCCGGCCTTCTTCAGGTGGTTGGAATGTCGAAGTGAATCCTTTATTTCGCTCGATTGGGTAAACTGTTCTAGTTCCACGTGCCATGTCTAATGGATGTCAATTATCAGTAATCTCCTGTTAATTCCTCTCTCCAAGTTCTCCACCGCCTTAGTGTAGTATTCAGGTATTGAACTCACATTCTTTGGGTCCTTTCACTGGATCTAACGCCTTTTTCCACTGTGCCATGTGTCCTTGGGGACTTCTATGTGTGAATTTCCGGGCATTATAAACAAAAATTGCAATATGAGCACTGGTAAAAAATGAATAGTCAAGACATTAAGTGAATAATACCCAGAAATTCACACACAGATGTCCTCAAGAACACATGGCACAGTGGATAAAGGCATTAGTTAGATCCAGTGACAAGACTCAAATAGTGTGAGTTCAATACCTGATTAAGGCGGTGGAGAAAGGAATTAACAGGAGATAACTGATAACTGACACCCATTAGACATGGCACGTGGAACTAGAACAGTTTACTCCAGCGATCGAAATAAAGGGTTCAGTTCGACATTCCATCCACCTGAAGAAGGCCAGATCGTACAATGGCCGAAACGTTGTGATAAATATGGCAACAAAGATGAGGACAATAATCCAAATAATGTAAATAGTGTATATAATACCTCATCTCAGAAATGTAGACAGATACTGAAGAAATATTTCTAAAGAAAAAAAAATTAAATTATAATTGTTCTATATGCACATGAACACAAAAAGATACAGATTGTATTAAATATCTTACATCCGTGGTGATCAGTGTTCATTTATTTTAGGATATATCAACCATTGCAGGGATAACGTTGCATCTTTTTTTTATGTGGAATCCGTTAAGGATCGAACTCATTACT